TAGTTTTTATACTAAGGAACGGAGATATATAAGAGTAAATTGAGAATTAGATTCGTTTATTAATTATATTAGTATTACTAATATTTTTTTAAGAAAATAGATTGAGTTTTTTTAGATGTGTATGTGCATGTGCATATACTCTCTCTGTCCCTTTTTATAAGATCTAATTTTTTGAATGGATTTATTTCTTTTTATAAGATTTATTTTGAGTTTTTCTGAACATTTAATGCATTATTATCTACTTTATCTTTAGTTTAATAGATTAAATACATTCTCTTTTTTCATTTGCCTCACTATTACTCTCTTACATTTACTCATTTATATATAGGGATATATTTAAAAAATTATATTTATTACATATTAATTATTTTAAATTAATTTTAACTATTTTCTTAAACCACCTAATTTAATTAAAAAAATTTTATAATAAAAAACGGAGTAGAATATGTATAATTGTGTGTACATATATGTAAAAGATTTCTGACACATTATTCAAAGCTTAATCCAGCATACAATGGATATTTATTTATTAGTGTGACGGGGACGTTTGATTCAAAAGCGTCTAAGTTCTCTTCATGTAAGGATGTGGGTCCCTTCTCTCTCATCCGTCCTTTATTTTTCCCCTACTACTCAAAAACAACGGCGCTCTCTCTCCCTCCCTCTCTCTGTGCCCCCTCTTCTCTCTCTCTTTCCGTTTATGGTTTTCGGTTTCGTATTTCGAATCGATACAATAGAATAATACGACCAACTGGTAGCAGCAAGCAATAATAATGTAGAAAAAGTTGCGAAAAGAAATTCTGTAATCCGCTCACCAAATAGCAAGAGAGAGAAGAAGCCTGGTGTAGTGGTGCGGTGGTGGTGTCGAAAAAGTCGAGCCCAGAACCAGAAGTGCTTCCGCACCAAAAGCTTCGAACGCGGTTCGTGCTCCCAGCTGTGGTTTGCAACGTTTTACGCGCTCGTGGAAGCCGGATTCGTGCTTAGTTTGATGAGTTTTCCTTAATCGGTATTGGGATTTGTTTCTTGTGCAAGTGGGCTCATTTCTGTTCTTCCCAATGAAGGAGGTGGTGCAGGATGATATGGGGTTACACTGGTATTTGAAGCTTGCTCTGTTGTAAAATATTAGAATAATGGGCTGTTTGTAATGCATATTGATTCTTGAACAAAGGTTTTAGTCTTCTGGGTCAAGAATAAGATCTGATGAAGACGGAGTATTGATTGCAATCTAGGTTTTGCTTCCTACTTGGCGCTTTTTCTGCAGGTACATTTGGTCTGCATTACTGGTTTTCTGTTTTCTATTTTTCTTCTTTTAGTATACGTTGGTGGACTTCGATTCTTTAAATAATATTTCTGCTGGTATGGGGTGGGGGAAAGCAACGCTTGGGTTTTTATTATTTAACTGTTTTCTTTATCAATTTTTTTAATATATATATTTTGGTTGTGGAAAATGTCTTCTTCATTGGGGCTGTTATTCACTAGTTTATTCTATTCCACCCCAAAAGGGTATGTGAATTGAAAAAGGTTTAAACCTTACAACTAAACGTACGGCAGTGGAGAGGAATAGTTTTGGTCTTTTCATTAAGCCTATTGTTTTGTTGGATCTCATATTGTTATGTTGCATTCGATTCAGATCTTACTCATTTTTCAATCCTGTTGAACTGTTTTAACAGGACATAAGCATAAATCACTGAGGTGTTCCGGAGTTGCATGCAGAAATTTTTGTGATCTTTTTTTGGCTTTTGATAACGTTATTGTTCAAGGGGTGTGAGCTGCTATGTTGTATCTTTGGATGGATTAAAGAGAAGAAAAACGTATTGGATCAATGTTAAAAACAGTGGCGTCGGGACTTTCAATTTTTTTCCTCCTCAAATGTGTATCTGCAACAGACAATGAATTTCCCAGATGTAACTGTGATGATGAGGCCAGCTTGTGGACTATTGAGAGTATTCTGGAGTGCCAGAGAGTCAGCGATTTGTTGATTGCGGTGGCCTACTTCTCCATACCCATTGAGCTGCTTTGTTTTATCAGTTGCGCGAATGTCCCATTCAAATGGGTTCTCGTTCAGTTTATTGCCTTCATTGTACTATGTGGATTGACACATTTGCTGAATGCATGGACTTATGGTCCTCATTCTTTCCAACTTATGGTGGCACTTACAGTATTCAAAACTCTTACGGCTTTGGTATCATGTGCCACCGCGATTACTCTCATGACTCTCATTCCTTTACTTCTTAAAGTGAAGGTCAGAGAATTAATGCTGAGGAAAAAGACCTCCGAACTTGGACGAGAGGTTGGTCTTATTATGAGGCAGAAGGAAGCTGCAAAACATGTAAGGATGCTCACTCGACAGATTCGCAAGTCTCTTGATAGGCATACTATTTTGTACACCACCCTTGTGGAGCTGTCTGAAACTCTTGGTTTGCAAAATTGTGCAGTCTGGATGCCTAATTTTGATAAAACAGAGATGAACCTCACTCATGAATTGAATGAGAGGAATCTTAGTTTTTCTATACCCATTACAGATCCAGATGTTGTGAGAATTAAGGCAAGCGATGGAGTAAATATTCTTAGCCCTGTCTCAGCACTTGCTGCTGCCAGCAGTGGAAATTCTTCTGAGGTAGGACCAGTGGCTGCAATTCGGATGCCGATGCTTCGGATTTGCAATTTCAAAGGTGGAACACCTGAGTTAAGGCAGGCATGTTATGCAATATTGGTTCTGATTCTTCCTGGTGGAGAGCCAAGATCTTGGGGCAATCAGGAGCTGGAAATAGTTAAAACAGTTGCTGATCAGGTTGCTGTAGCTCTCTCTCATGCTGCAATTCTTGAAGAGTCCCAACTCATGAGAGAGAAATTGGAGGAGCAAAATCGAATTCTACAACAGGCACAAAGAAATGCTTTGATGGCGAGTCAGGCAAGAAACTTATCTCAGAAGGTCATGAGTGATGGAATGAGAAGACCGATGCACTCAATTTTGGGTTTGCTTTCAATTATACAAGATGAGAGTTTGAAAAGTGAACAGAAACTCATTGTGGATTCAATGCTGAGAACCAGCAATGTCCTATCAAACTGGATAAATGATGCCATGAACATTTCAGCGAAGGATGATGGGGGATTTCCATTGGAGATGAGATCTTTTGGGTTACATGCTATAATAAAAGAAGCAGCATGCCTTGCCAAGTGTCTTTGTGTTTATAGGGGCTTTGGTTTTAAAATTGAGTGTGAGAAGTCTTTGCCTGACAATGTTATGGGTGATGAGAGGAGGGTTTTTCAGGTGATTCTACATATGGTTGGGAACTTATTGGATGGAAATAACAGGGGAGGGATTCTTGTACTTCGTGTTCTTGCAGAAAGAGGAAGTCAGGAAAGAAATGACCATGGGTGGACAACTTGGAGACCAAGCTCATCTAGTGGGGATGTACATATTAGATTTGAGATAGGGATCAACAGAAGCAATTATGAATTGGAGAGTTCACGTTCTTTAGGAGTGGGCAGTAGGACATATTCTGGTTGTAGAGATGAGGTCAGGTTGAGCTTCAGCATTTGCAAGAGGATCGTTCAGGTGAGGATCGTGAAATCTTTTGTTTGTTTGTGCATCAGATGATTTTTATTATTACACGAATGCATCTTAGTTCATTTAAATAACACTTCATTATACCTAGCGGAATGCTCATTTTTCCAGTTATTCAGTTGCAATGGACTTAAAACAGCTAAAATCTCTCATGTCCAACTCCTAACGATTTTTAAGGGAGGATATTTGCACACGTTTTTTCCTCACATTTGGAGCAACACTGCAGTTGCTTTATTTTGTTTTGCCTGATTCTAGAGAAGGAAAAATGGAAGCTCAAAGAATTAGTATGTTTTAGGTGTTAGGCATAGTAATTATAATAAATTGAATATGCCATAGTTCTAAGGTCCTTAACTAGCACTTTCACGCATAAAAGGAGTGAGGGTGTGGTTCACCCTTTGTGCAGGAGCTGAAGTTGTTTTATGCACTCGGAGTGTTGATTTGCATGTTATAAGAACAACTCATCTAACAGAAGCATGAGAAGACAATTTTCTATTGTTAGTTTTTATTCACGGGATTTTTTTGATTTGATTGATTATTCTTTCTTTTGACATTCTCTGGGTTGATTTGTACTGATTTTATCTTAATTTGTTCAAGGCGTTTTACATTCCGGTGATGTTCATTTGATGTTAGAACTGTGAAGTGGCAGTTACTGCGCCATGCATATTTTTCTCCCTTGTCTTGCATTGATTTTGATTTCTTATGCTTTTGGCAGTTGATGCAAGGGAACATATGGTTTGTACCAAATACCTTAGGTTATCCTCAAACCATGGCCCTTGTTCTTCGGTTTCACTTACGACAGTCTATTTCCATTTTCATCTCTGAGCCTGGTGAACCCTCTGAGCGCACAGATTCTAATTCTTTGTTCAGAGGTCTGCAAGTCTTGTTGGCTGACAATGATGATATAAATAGAGCTGTGACCCAAAAGTTGCTTCAGAAGCTAGGTTGTGTCGTAACTTCAGTTTCTTCAGGATTTGAATGCCTTGCTGTCATTGGATCTGCTGGATCTTCTATTCAAGTCGTTCTTTGGATCTTCATATGCCCGAGTTAGATGGCTTTGAAGTTGCTACAAGGATTCGGAAATTTAGAAGCCGAAATTGGCCAATGATTGTTGCCTTGACTGCAAGTGCCGATGAAGATTTGCATGAAAGACGTATGCAAATTTGTATCAATGGAGTTATAAGAAAGCCCGTTATGTTGAAGGAAATTTCCAGTGAACTTAGGAGGATCCTGACGCATGCACGGAAGTGAAGTCCTGTTAGAGGAGAGGTTGTAAATTTTAAAACCGCAGCATCAACAAGATGAGTTGTTTTGAGCAAGTGTTGGTAGAACTATACACCACCTTTTGCTCATCCCTGCAATACTTCATCCTAGAGATTTTATACCCATAAAATTTTTATGAGGGAGTTATATACAGATTAGTTCAATGTGTTTCTCTGTATGTATATCATATATGTAGTTTCAAACATAAAATAGAAGCATCTTCAGGGACATCAATACAGTCAGAATTGAAGGAGGAAAAGGCCAAAAAAATAACACTAGTTCAGGATTACAGGATTAATTCAGATTTATGTTACTCACTTCATGTGCCAACAACATGAACCTTTTATTTGTCAAAACATGATGGTACGGCTATTTTCTTCTTTGTGAGATTTGTTTTCCAGTGGAACAAAATTTTAGGTTTAAATGTGTTCTCAGTATGTATATCATATATGTAGTTTCAAACATAAAATAGAAGCATCATCAGGGACATCTACACAGTCAGAATTGAAGGATGAAAAGACGGAAAAAGAAGAGTAGTTCCGGATTACAGGATTAATTCAGATTTATGTTACTCACTTCATGTGCCCACAATATGAACGTTTTAGTTGTCAAAGCATGATGGTATGGCGATTTTCTTGTTTATGAGATTTGTTTTCCAATGGAACAAAATTTTAGGTTTTAAATGATGAACAAATTAGTTATGCAAAGTGAAATAATAATTGAAGTGGATACTTCTAACAGAGACCAATGGCGGACCTAATTTGATAAGCTTCTACTGTCTTCTTGTCACAGGTAGTGTAAGATTCTCTCACTACAAATTGTTTGCCTGGCTTGATTGAGTGCTCCGCTATCCTCCTCTATCACATGCACTCGTTAATGATGAACATTAGTGAGCATGCTGCACAAGGCTTTTACTGTTTTTGTATCTCTGCTGCAACTTTTCTTCTTATTGAGTAATCCGTATGTTTGCAGAAATTCACACTTCCTATGCAGGATCCATATAATTGTATCAAAAGACCTTCACTGATGAGCTGAACTGAAATTTAATTGCATAATCTGAATAAACATTGTCATGCCTGATGAAAAACGCGCACACATGAAAACCAGTGGCATGCTGCACTTGCCCAATGCTTTTACCTTTATTATATTTTTTATTCCTGCTGGAACTTATAACACTTGGGCAATCAGTATATGTAGACTACTCCACAAATTGGTGCATTTGTATGGTTTAAGGATCCTATAGATTTCTTGATCATAAAGTTCTAGGAGAGAGAGAGAGTAACCTAAAGACTGGAGATTTGTATGAGATCTACTTCCTGTTTTCTGTCCGACATAATTTCTCTTTACAAAAACTTCATTATTCACATTTTCGGAGGATCCAATCTCTTGTATTGAACACTAGTGTTGATAAGCTGATTCCATGATCTGAATGAAATATTATTTTGACTGAAGTAGCAGTGGTCCCTCCCTCGGAGGGTTGTCAGTTTCCTCCCCTGTGAAAGTCCCAAATCTATATATCGAGTAAGCCGTACTGTTTGCAATCTGTTTGCCAATCTTAAATAATATAGTTTGTTTTTCAATTGCATGGGGTGCAGAATCTAGTTTTGATATTAAAGCTGTGAACTTAGTGGAGGTACATATGCCAAGTGGGGAAAATTGTGTTGGGTCGAAACACCTAGGGGTGTTTGTATGTTGGGGGGGAAAAAACATGGGGGGCTCATTTTCTTGCTCGCAACCCCCTCTTTTTTTTTATACAATTTGAACATATACATGCACACAAACATGTCAACACCAGGTTGTGTAGTGCTGATACTATGTCAACATGTCATCTCAAGTTTTAAACACGCAAGAAAGCTTGCATGAATCTCTGTAGTCTGTACGCATATAGAGCTCCTGTTATTTTCTTGTGTGCCCTTTTGCTTTTTGTTGGAAGTGGGCCCAATAAAGGCCCAATTACAGCAAACCCTAGCTTATTTAGTAACTGCCTGCAATTATATTTTTAGTATCTGCATAATTTTAGGATTAGTTAGATAATTTATCTGATTCATTATCCTATCATTATCCTAGTTTAGATTTGATCAGATTCGGTCAAACTCTTTCTTCCCTCTATATGTATCAATTGATTCCATGAAATAAAACAAGCATTCAGCGCCAAACGCTGTCATGGTATCAGAGCAATCATGACCTTCAAAGCGCGCTGATGGGTACTCCACGAGCCTTCACTGCCGGAGGTCCGAAAAACACCATCCTCGGCTGCGACTGGTGATGGCTTGAACAGTGGGACCAACTCTGCAGTGAATCGACCCTCGAATCAATCTTCATCTCTGAGTTCAGCGTCGCGTCGATTCACTATCGCAAATCACACATCTCCCACAGACTCAACGGGAACAACTACCTACAATGGTCCAGGAATGTGCTGATGTTGTGTTCGAGGACGACACAAGGAGAAATACCTCACGTGGGATCCCAGACCACCATCAACCGAGGATTCCCAATTCGATACATGGCGGGCTGAAGATAATTTGGTAATGACCTGGTTAGTGCACTCGATGACTCCAGAAATTAGCGAAAATTACCTGCTTGCTAGTTCGGCTCGTGAAATCTGGGAATCGGCCAGGAGAACGTACTCAGTTAAGGAAAATTCTGCCGCATAATTCAGGTAAAAGCGACTCCTATGTAGTCTGGTTCAGGGGGAGCAAACCATAACCCATACTTTCAGTACTCAGTGCACTCATGCGACTCTGGTTGCAAATCGATTTGTATGATGTTCATCAATGGACCTGTGCACGCCGATGAAACATACTACAAAAAGTGGTTGATCGGGATCGCTGTTATGACTTTCTATTGGGACTTAACGACACCTATGAGGACATACGAGGCAGAATTATGGGATAAAGCCTCTCCCTTCGCTTGAAGAAGCCTTTAATATGGTCAAGAACGAGGAGAGTCGTAAGGCATTACTCCAATTAACACCTCGAGCTCTACCTTCCGCTGATGCCTCCAGCCATGGTCATCCGTGGCATCCTGAGAATGAATCTAGAGGAAGAAATTTCTAATGTGTGATCATTGCAATAAAATGGTCATACACGAACACTTTGCTGGAAGATTCATGGAAAACCAGCTCATTATAGACACCGAACAAAAGGGGACAGGGACAGTAAGGTATGACAGTGAGCAACATGCAGGACGGTGAGTTTCTGAACCAGGAAGAGGTTTCTATTCTCCGAAAAATCCTAGACAAATATACACCGGATAAAACAAGTGATAAAACGACCCTCAAGTTACTCTAGCACATGCAGGTATGATTTTCTTGGCTACTCACAAAATAAAAAATACCTGGGTAGTTGACTCTAGAGCCACAGATCATATACCGGATTTCGTGAATTGTTCTCTGATTTTAAGCCCGATTCTGAATACTCCCGAGTTCAAGTGGCCAATGATACATATGCAAAGGTCATGGGGTCCGGCACTGTTACTACTCTCAGCCTCTATTACATTATATAATGTTCTTTTTGTACCTGAGATCAAGTGTATTTAATGTCTGTTAAAAGTGTCACTTGCCAATTAAATTTCCGTGCAATATTTGACAAATTTCACTGTGATTTTCAGGACTTAGCCTTGGGGAGGGTGATTGGCAAAGCTAAGGAGTGTCATGGACTCTACTATCTAGAAGGCGACTCTAAAGACTTCTGTGGTTGATTCTTCTGTTTCAAGTTCAGTTTTTTCTGCCATGTCTCATGATGACATAATGCTATGGCATTCTAGGTTAGGTTATCCAAATCTTAGTTACATGAAAATTCGTTTTTCCCAACTCCATCAATAAAGATTTTCAGTTTTCATTGTGATACTTGTCATCGAGCAAAGCAAACTCGCTCATCTTATTTGCCAACTCCGTACATACCTACCCACATCCTTTTGCCCTGATTCACAGTGATTTGTGGGGTCCATCTAGGACTGAAAATATCTCTAATGCAAAATGGTTTTGTTACATTCATTGATGATCATACTCGCCTAAACATGGGTATTTTTAATGAAAGAAAAATTCAAAGGTCTTCTCTATCTTCAAGAACTTTCATGCTTTTATTCAAAATCAATTTCAAACTTCAATAAAAATTCTTCGAAGTGATAATGGCAGAGAATATATTAATATGGATTTTCAAAAATTTTCTTGCTGAAAATGGAATTCACCATCAAACTTCTTGTGTGCATACACCACAACAAAATGGTGTAGCAAACGGAAAAATAGACACCCTTTTAGAAGTGGCAAGGGCTCTTTTGATTGATAAAATGTGCCTATCAAATTTTGGGGAGATCCATTCTTACTTTTGCGTATTGATCAACAGAATGCCTTCCAAAGTACTAAAATTTTAGACTCCTGTTCAAAAATTCTTAGAGCATTATCCTCATTCTCATTTTCTCACTCTCTTCCCAAACGTGTATTTGGATGCACAGTTTATGTTTTTGATAATCAGGGAGGAAAACTAGGCTCTAGATCTGAAAAAAGTTTTTTTCTGGGTTTCCTCCACTAAAAAGGGGTATAATGTTATTTCTCTTGCTTCCAAACGTTTTTATATCACTCTTAATGTTAATTTGTGGGAATCTCTTCCTTTTTACTCCAAATCACCCATTCAGGGTGAGAGTGATAGAGAATGGCTAATTTGTGTTGGTGATGAGGATCATATCAGTGAAACCAATTGCGAAAATCAATCATTACCTAGCTATGGCCCCCAAACAGCACCTTGTCCACTATCCAGTCGACACTAATCAACTTTCCACCTATGATGAGCCGGTTCAGTCTATCCTCACCATGACCACCCTAATGTTGAACCCTGAAAGTCTATCACCGATTCTGTACAGCCACCTTCAACCTTGACATAGACCTCCCATGATCCTAGACTTGAGTCTCAAGTTCATGAAACAGAAGAGGGGACAACAGTTACAGAGAAGAGTCATTGCCACCACCAGGCCGAGTCATGAAACTCAACCTGAGTCTATTTCCAAAGATCTACAGTGGCCATTGCACTAAGAAGGAAAGAGAATTTGTACCAGGTATCCTATTAACAGGTATGTCTCCCTATGACAAGCTCAACCCATCCTTTAAGGCATTGTTGCCAATATTGACAAAGAAGAAATCCCGAGGTGTTTTGATGAAGCTATTTGGACTTGAATTGGAAGTCAGCCATTGAGGACGAACTGAATGCCCTAGCTAAGAATCAGACTTGGAAAATAGTGGATTTGCCCCAAGAAGCCTGTTGTAGTAGCAAATGGGGCTTTACAAAGAAGTACAATCCAGACGGAAGCATTATAAGTATAAAGGCAGACTGGTAGCTAGAGGTTTTACACAAACTTACGGTATTGACTATCTTGAAACGGTTTGCTCCTGTTTCTAAGTTCAATACTATAAATGTTCTATTATCTCTTGCTGCCAATCTAGATTGGCCATTACATCAATTAGATGTTAAAATGCCTTCTTAAATGGGACCTAGATGAGGAAGTGTATATGGAAATAAATACCACCAGGATTACAGAACTCGAAAATCAGAATAAGGTGTGCAGGCTTTATAAATCCTTGTATGGAACAATCCCCGAGAGCATGGTTTGAAAAAATTTTACATGTGCCATTAAAAAATTCGGTTACACACAATGCCAAAACAGATCATACCTTGTTTATAAAGCACTCTAATCATAAAATTACTGTGCTAATAGTCTATGTGGTGACATAGTATTAACAGGAGAATGACGTGTGAAGAAATTGCAGAATTGAAACAGAGGTTAGCAGCAGAATTCGAGATAAAAGATCTTGGGAATCTGAGATATTTCCTAGGACTAGAGATTGCTAGATCCCCTAAAGGTATTAGTGTGTCACAAAGAAAATACACTATGGACCTTTTAAAGGAGACAGGGTTGTTAGGAGCTAGACCAGCTGAGACTCCTATGGAACTAAACTATAAACTCGAGATTACAACCAGATGGGAAGGCTACCAACAAGGAGCGTTACCAAAAATTGGTGGGCAAACTCATATAACCTATCCATACCAGACCGGATATCTCTTATGCAGTAGGGGGTGTGAGTCAATTTATAGTAAACCTCAAAAGAGCACACATGGAAGCCATATACCGAATCCTCAGGTACCTGAAAAATACACCTGGGAAAGGATTATTCTTTGCTAAGGGGAATAAAAAGCATGTGAAATGGATAATATAAACAGATGGAAAAGGGTGAACCCTGGTACAAAAGAAGACAATGATATTGAAGTATATACTGATGCCTGATGGGCAGTGCAATCAATGACAGACCTCTACTACGGGCTACTGTACTTTTGTGTGGGGCAACCTAGTAACATGGAGGAGTAAGAAACAACCTGTTGTATCTAGAAGTTCTGCAGAGGCAGAATATAGAGCTTTAGCTCTTGGAATCTGTGAAGGAATGTGTGGGTTGTACGGCTACTGCAGGAACTTGGGTTAGAGACTACACCAATAAAAATGGTGGTGTGATAGCATGGCTGCATTGAAAATAGCCAATAATCCTGTGTCAGCATGACAGGACAAAACATGTCGAGATTGATCGTCATTTTATCAAAGAAAAGATTGAGGCTAAGGTGATTGACTTGGCCTACATTCCTACCGGAAGACAAATTGCAGACATGATGACAAAGCCACTGGTTCGGGCAAAGTTTGATGAACTCACAAGCAAGCTGGGAATGATCATATCTCTATTCGCCAGCTTGAGGGGAGTGTTGGAAGTGGGCCCCATAAAGGCCCATTACAGCAAACCTAGCTTATTTAGTAACTGCCTGCAATTATATTTTTAGTATCTGCATAATTTTAGGATTAGTTAGATAATTTATCTGATTCATTATCCTATTATTATCCTAGTTTATTTAGATTTGATCCAGATTCGGTCAAACTCTTTCTTCCCTCTATATGTATCAAATTGATTCCATGAAATAAAACAAGGCATTCAGCACCAAACGCTGTCACTTTTAATTAATTCTCCACGGTTCCAACAGCCATGGCCCATGTTTCCTTTCAATCAATACACTCACCTACTACCTAGCTATTTTCTTTCATAGAACCTCTTAAAAAACCAAT